AATATACACTGCAGACACACTTATTTATACATAAATAAGTGCTACAGGTGTATGTGTCCTCAGATGATGACATTTAAGTTTTGAATTTCTTCAGTATACATACCACAACGCTGCAGAGTTGTCAGCACCCTGGGATCTCCTGTGTGTTGGCTTGTCACTCTAGGGGGCGTGGCTATCACCCATGTGACTTCATCCCGGCAGCATCCCCTTAGTGGGCGGGGCCAGCCGTCCATTGCTGCTGTATTGGAATCCTGTGCTCTGCCCTCCAGGGAGTCTCTGCAGGCTGACGCTGCATTGCTGCTGCCGATTTGCCACCCGACTCTTCCTCTGAGCTGCGGGCACCTGTAAACAGACACAGGCTGCCCGCAGCTCAGAGGAAGATCCGGTTTCAGGCAGATGCGGCTGCCGTGGATCGCACTTACCAAGGACCTCGCAGCCGCATCTGCGAGAAAATTTAAAGTGCCGGTGTCAGCAGAGTGTCTTGTGTACGGGTGCCCGCTGGCTGGACACCCGTACACAAGACGCCAAACCCGGACTGTCCGGTTGAAAACCGGACGGGTGGCAACCCTAATATATAGGCAGCTGAAGTTATAAGCAGATCTAGACTGCTAGGTTGACAGAGGGCACCTCCCTGAAATGACTTATTTCAGGTTGGCATCCCTGCATGATGTATCTGTCTCTGTGAGTCATGCCTGTGGCTGTGAGAATCTTCAAATGCCTCATGGGATTTGTAGTTCCACAACAGCTGGAGGGCATGGACTGGTACCCCATAACAACCAATGATCCTGCAGGGCTGCCAGCATCATGGCAACCAATGACGATGCACAGCCCACACAGCAACATTGGTGTCTAACACACTGACAGCCCCACAGTTTCATAAGTTGTTTTGGTGCGCCTGCCTGTGTCCTAGCATCCAATGATTCTCTGCAGCTCAGCCATCAGTCATTCAATGACACTGTGTGTGCTGTATAACAACATCATTGGTTACTAGGACACAGGGAAAGATTTTCAGAGGGTGGGCAAACTGGCCAAATCATTCACCCATTCGGCGAACTGTGAACAGCTAGGGTTTGGTCCAGCTCGAACCTGAAACTCATCCCTACCTGGAGTACTGGATGCCCTTGACCCCGCCATGTGTTCTGGTTCACTTTTAGGACCCCTATGTCAGTGCTGTGTCTTGTAGTGACATAAAGGTGCTGGGGACAGAGGCATCCAACACACCCCGAAGAAACAAATGCTGAAGATTCTCCCAAAGTATGCAGCACTGGAATGGAGAGAACTTAGGAAGCATGGGTCACTGGAGAGGTCAGTATAATATCTCTATTGCAGGGAGTGGCTGTTTAGGAGTAAAAACAAAAAAGCCTGGAAACTCCACAATATGTGGAGTTTCCAGATGCTCTGCAACTTTTACCAAGTAGAGAAGAAGCGTGCTTTTCTTTCTTAAGTGTCTTCCAACTTGAAATGTACATTGTGTTTCACTGTTTTGTATTTCTTGCCCTGGGATACAACCCTGTGCTCTGCACACTGTAGACACCCATGTTATGCAGAAAATAGTTTGAGGTCGTATCTCAAGGCAAACAAAATAAATATGACTTCTTTAGCTTATAAAACCAGACAGAAGGACGTGGGAAAAAAAAAAGAAATTAAGAAGGAAGTGTAAAAAAAAAAAATAGGAATTTACAAGTGCAAGCCATCACTTTTATTTAATCTGACATTGGGAAGCCGTGGTTTGGTGGTTATGAATAAAACAAGAAAAGTTATTATTTCCCACAGAGTTTGGATAAGTTTAGACTTCACATTAAAGTCTAAGTAAAAGTAACAAAGTAAAATAATTTTAAGAGATACTTTATTATGATAGTGAACTTTTATTAAAAGCTATTTTGATTTTCACATCTGTCATTTGTACGATGTGCCTTATTTTTGTAATTATATTTCAGACAGATCTGTAGATTTTTCTTGTGCCAGGTATTTGCATGTCAGGAAGTGCAATTTTTTGTGTATATTTCTGATATATATATATACATATTATAATATATTAATATATGACTGAAAAAAACAACTACAGGATAAGCAACCCACATATTATACCATGTTCAACAACACTTTATGGGTCTGACTGTACACAAAGGGGTTAATGAATAAAGCTTAGCCAATGCCCTTAGCACACCCTTACTGCCACTAGATGGAGCCGAGAAGCATAGGAGATGCTCCTCTGCTACCTCTAGTGGCCATAATGTCAACTATAGCCTGGAAATAGTTGTATACATCAGACCCTAAGACTTGCACTGAGAGACAAGGAACAATGAAGCAGAGATATTTTTAGCATCATTCTGTTATACTATTAAGAATAACTGATGATACATATTAGAAGCAAATATGGTTGCGTAATTGGACATTTATAAAATAATTTACATTTTGGTCATAGTGTAATGCAGCAGGTGAAATGGAGTGAAGGCACACTCAGTTGGTTGGGTGTACCTATGTTCCACATCTTCAGGGACTCAGGGATCTTGACTTTAGACCCAAATAGTCAATTGCCAGTTGGAAGCCCCTGCTGTCCACAACTTCCTACAACACACTGAGGCCCTCTAGAAATGAATCAGTTAATAGGGAGTTTGAGGGAACAGGCCAGTACTGGACATTCTCTACAAAAGTGTTGATTTGCATACAAAAATACTTGCTTTGAACTGATTTTTTTTAAGGCACCAGGATCCCTGAGCCAGCATCTCAGCCCTGTAACTAGATACTAACCCTGGATAATGCCTATAAAAAGAGTGTGCCATCCTATTGGAGAGTAAAGCAGATTAAAGCATTGTCAGGGGAGTGCAGAATAATATATACATAGGAGTGTTACACTTTCACATTGCTTAGCATGCAAAGTGCATGTCAAGCCAAAACGTTTTTCTTAGTTTTTGATACATTTGAGAAGGGTTAGAACCTCTGTCAGTTTTCTACTGCTATCCAGGGCTCTGTTAGATAGCAGTAGAAAACTGTTACGGCAGAACAGGAAGTGGGGGGGTTAATCTCTCTAAAGGAGTCCCAGATAGCAGTAAAAACCCCACAGGTGTTCTAATCCTTTCACACCTTGTCCAAAACTAGGGGGAAAAAAAGAGTTTTGGCTTTACTTACACTTTAACATGAAAACATATCTCCGATGTTAGATCCACTTTAACATCTAAAATCCCATTAAAAAGACTAGATTCATCCAATATCTGGGCCGATACACCAAAAAGTTCCTGTGCGGGTCCCAAATCTGGGCTGATACATTTATTCCCACCTGACTCCAATTTTCCTATGATCCTGTCTAGGTTGCCCTCTCCCTTAGCACTAATGGAGTGGAGGAGGCCAGCCCCCTCTGATACATTGCCTGCCCTTTTCCTTACTGGTCCCTTCACTTTCCTTTCTTTTCTTACCTCTTCCCCCCTCCCCCCCCCCCCCCCTTTTTTTTTTTCCCCCTTCCCCCCCCCCCCCCCCCCTCCCTTTTTTTTTCTCTGCTTTTCCCATTGCCTCTATTTCAATCTTTTGCTCTCCAAGCCAAGACTTTACCCTGTTGTGGTGGCTTTCCTTCCCTGGGTAATCCATTGTACTTGCTTACAAATATACATAAATAAAGATCAATAAAATTAACTTACCCCATTTATTGATAGGTTTCCTCTAGCTTCCAAGGGAGTAAGGTCTTGAAGTATGGCTGCTCCAGAAACAGCTCCCAGCAGCTGAGCCCCAACATAAAACACTGCCCGCAGGAAGGAAATCTGAGAACCCACCATAAAAGCAAGGGTTACAGCTGGGTTAATGTGGGCACCACTCACGTGACCAAAAGTCTGAACTAAAGTACCTATACCAAGGCCAAAGGCCAAGGCAATCTGTAGCACATTTAGACTTGTCCCTGGCCAGTGTAAGGCTGACCCTAATCCAAACAAAACAAATAAAAGAGTAGCGAAGAATTCTGCAAAGACTGCCCTAGCAAATGCTACTGAACGCAGTTCCCATAACCTGATCATTTTATGGAACCAGAAAAGGTAGGTTTTTGGTCTCTATTGAAAGGGGAAAGAGAGCTACGGCTTGTCACTTATATATGGCAGCTAGATGAAGAGATTCAAAAGGAGGAGCCAGTGCATTGGTAAGGACAAACTTTTACTATACTAATGGCATTAATTTGCAGTAATTTTCTCTGACCTCTTCTGAGAGTTACATGGAGGGACGGGCTTATCAGCAATCTCAGAAACATCCATTTGCATTGGTAAAAACTTTCATAATTGCTACAAAGCCTTGATATCTCATTGTTACTTGAAGCGTAGGACCCGCAGTAATCATTTCATCTGTACTGCATTACATTTTAAATTAACCTTGTAATTTTAGCATGCTTGATCTGAAATTGCATAACCAAACTGATGAAGCTGCATTTCTTCTCAGTCATTTATAATATGAGTTCATCTCTGCATTTGACCAATCAATGATTATTGCTTAGTAGCAATGGAATTGTTTAAAGGCTGTGCATTCAGGCTGTGATTTCTACAGACGTACTCACATTATATATTGACATTCTGCTTTATACTGTAAATTAATTCACTAAGGTTTTAATTAAATTTAAAAAAAACTGCCACATATATTATACAACACCAAAGTTGATGACACTTGGGACAACTAAGGCTAGGTTAACACCTAGGCGTTTGCAGTTTTCATGCATTTTTGCACAATTTTCGTGATTTTGCTATTAACACACGTTTCTTCCTGCATAGAGATTTACAGGTGTCCAATGAGAAGCAGAAACAGCCCTGACCTAAGTTCCTGTTTCCTGTTTTTGAGGAGAATGTTCCTTACAAGACGGTGTTGCATTGTTGAGGATGCATCCCTCTACTCTGCATGCCATGGCAACTGTAGTCACAATTGTGCTGCTTCTCAGAAGGTGGAGCAAACAGAGGCGTAGAGTCTGGGTCCATCCAGTGATTGCTAGCAGGCAACAATGTGGCCAGTTTTGGGCGATGTACAATAAACTATGTGGGCATGAGGAAAAAGTGCCAGGATGCATTGTAGTTAGCCACTGACCTAAACATACAGAGGTTGATACATGCAGGGATCACAGTTGCAGGACTGTGGAAGTCAAGCCCTACGCTAGGAAAAGATGCATGCAAAAGGGAAAAAAATGCTGAAATCTTACAACAAACTCTGCAATAAACAAGGAAAACATGAAACAAGAATTGACAAGCACACATTACCTTTGGCATCTTTAATTGATGGGGAAAAACCATCCCAGACACTCTATGTTTGCATAAGCATATGCGTTCGGCTCAGCTGAGCTGTTTCGGCTGCCTTTGGCTGCAGTACGGGCTGAACCGAATGGCTCTGGCAGCCGAAGTGAGCTGAAGGATTAGCTGAAGCTACAACTATATCCTTCAGCTCAATAGTGAATAACCCTCAAAATGTTTGCATTTTGATATGCTGCGGTTTACTCAACAATAACTATTTAACCCTTTGAACACCAAAATTATGTTTACACCTTTATTTAAGCACCCAATTGGCCCCTATGTAATCATTTTTCTATAAAATACATTGAATATATTTTTATTAAGCAGAGAAATTGAAAAAAATTTGAAAAAAAGCAGGTTTTATTTAGTGAGTAATATATTTTGTATAATTAATACCAGTCTAATAAAAAAATCACTAAATTATGTTTTCCTATTTATTTTTTACATTTATTACAAAAAAAACAAATATGTGTAGGTTTTGATACAAATGTCAGTGCTGTAAAGTTGATAAAAAAAAGTGTGTACATTTTCGATTTTTAGATATCAGACTTTTTCTAGTGTAATAGCGGAAAATTACTAGCCGACCTGGGATGACATTAATGTACAGCCAGGACACTGGGAACAGTTTAAAAAAAAGATAATTGTGTCAAATTAACAACAAAAAAACTTGCAGGCTAAAAATTGTGCACACTTACTAAATAGTGAAAAACAAAGACACACAAAAATGATAAGATGGAGATGTATTAACGACCATTACCGTCCATCAATTTAGGGATAAAAATTAAAATAACATTACTAAAATCTTACTAAAGTCTTCCACCACAGTGTAATAATATGTATTGGGCCTTTATGTACATACAGTATATGTGTCCTGACCATGTATCTGTGAGTGTGAATGTATGTGTATGTGTTAGTACATGTGCGGGGAGGAAGGAATCTTTACATTTTTGTATTTATTACATTTACTTATATTTTAGTTTTTTTAAAACTTTTAAAACTTTTTTTATCTACTACTATTACAAGGGGGCTGATAAGCCCCATCTGATAGCAATCTCAAGTCCTCTTTATGGTGACATCAGCAATCTATTAGACTCTGGTTGTCTCCTTTGCTACTAGTACAGTTCAATTGATTACAAAGAACTCCGATCTGCTTGAACATCTATGCCAGGAGCTTTAAACCTGGAAGTTCTCAGTGCACTTCCAGGTTCAGTTTCAACAGCTGTGCCCTCCTGAATGCCTCCATAATGGACTTGGGCTTGAAGAGCAACAAAATAGAGGTTGGGGAGCTAGGGGAGGGGAGGGGGTGTAGTCACCCCGATCACTTCTATAAATACACTGACGCTGTTGCAAGTTGAAAGAAAACAAACCATGGCCACAATTTTGGCCATGTGTTTATTTTCCATCTTTTCAGTGTTACTTGGCAGTGAAAGGGTAATCATGTGCAGAACTGGATCAACCAGTATTCAGTACAGTAGCAGTCACTCAGAGTAGCTCCACAAAGTCTGCAGTTCGATTCTGTAGAAGGTTCTTGTTGAGGCTCTTACTGTTAGAGGGTGAAAATGGTTTGTGACTATTTCTCAATTGTGCATTGTCACTTTGTCACACAAACTTCCTGTGGAGGTTACAATTGGCGGTATAATAGTATTTAGCCTCTAGTCTTTGTTATGGAGTTAATTGTAAAGAGTTTGTTGCCAATGTTGCTGTCACCGTTAAACATTTTGTACATGAAAATCATATCCCCCCTCAATCTCCTTACTTCGGAGAGTAAGCCTTGTCTCGTAGCTCTGGTCTTTCATCCCCTTAAGTTTGGTTGCCCTCCTCTGGACTCTTTCCAGCTCAAAGACATCCTTTCTGTGGACTGGTGCCCAAAACTGGACTGCATACTTCAGGTGAGGCCGAACCAGTGATGTGTAAAGTGGCACAATTATAGACTTGTCTCTGCAATACATCCCCTTCTTAATACAGGACTGGACTCTACTTGCTTTGTTTACAGCAGCCTGGCACTGCAAGCTATTATTCAGTCTGTGGTCTACAATGACCCCCAAATCTTTTTCCATTTCTGACTTCCCTAGTGGAGTTCCCATTAATGTCTAATTCGCTTGCCTATTTGTAACCCCAAAGTGCATTACTTTACATTTATCGACATTAAACCTCATCTGCCATATAGTTACCCACTCCCCTATTTTATCCAGGTCCTCCTGTAATGCTATAATGTCTAAGTCCGTGTCTATTACCCTCCCGATTTTGGTATCATCAGCAAACACTGAGACATGGCTACTTACTCCCTCCCCTATATCATTAATAAACAGGTTGAAAAGCATGAGGCCCGGCACAGAACCCTGAGGCACACCGCTCATGACCCTAGCCCAGTCTGAAAAGGTGCCATTTATGGATACTCTCTGGACACGTTCCTGTAGCCAGTTTTCTATCCACAAACACACCATTTCATCTATGCCCATGGATCTCAGCTTGTGTAGTAAGCGTTTATGTGGTACTGTGTCAAAAGCCTTTGAAAAATCCAAATATACTACACCCACCGGCCTCCCTCCATCCAGAATTCTACTTACCCCTTTGTAAAAAGTTAGCAGATTAGTCTGGCATGAACGGTCTTTCCTAAACCCATGCTGGTTATCAGTTACTATGCCATTACCCCGAACAAATTCTACTATGTAGTCCTTTATCATTCCCTCTAACATTTTGCAAACTACAGATGTAAGACTAACTGGTCTGTAGTTCCCAGGTTGGCATCTTGACCCCTTTTTAAATATTGGTGCTACCGTAGCCTTCCGCCAGTTGCTTGGTACTCTGCGAGTCATTAAGGAGTCCTTAAAAATGAGGAATAATGGTCTTGTTATAACCTGGCTTAGTTCTTTAAGTACCTTGGGGTGCAGGTTATCTGGTCCTAATGCTTTATTTGCATTAAGTAGTTTAAGTCTATGTTGTATCCCGGTTTCCTTCAGCCACTGAGGTATATTTTGTGATGAACTATCTGCTTTCTTATGCACATTAAACCCGTCCTTTTCCTGAGTGTATACTGAGGAGAAAAAAGTATTTAGCGCCTCGGCCCTCTCCCTGTCGTTTGTGACTAACTTCCCATTTTCGTCCTTTATTGGGCCTATCTGCTCCTTTCTTACCTTTTTACTGTTTATGTATTGGTAGAATTTTTTTGGGTTCCTCTTCAGAATGAGGTTATATGTTTTTCGCACTCTATTTTAGATTCCCAAATTACCGTATTTTGCGGTCCATAAGACCGCATAGGACGCAGGGAGGTCCGGCGCGCCTTATGGAGCACTCGACAGACTGTAGCTTCTGACACAGCTTCTATGACAGAAGCTGTGACAGAAGCTGCAGTTAGTGACCGCTGAGACAGGTGGCGCTGTGATTACAGCGCCACGGTCTCAGTGATCACACAGAGCAGACGAAGAAAGTCCGTTCTTCATCTGCTCTATGGTGATCTCGATCGTCGCCGCTGCTCGGTTTTAATACGAGTGATCTCATTAGATACAGGCTTAGTTTTTGATCTTTTACCTTTGTTACCCAATGGTATACACTTGTTAATAGCCTTTTGTAATGTGTTCTTAAAACAATCCCACTTCTGGTTAGTTCTCAGTTTGTGAAATAAGTTTTCCCATTTGAGAAAGGTTTAATACATGTTAGGTACATGTTAGGTAGTGATGGTCCACTCTTGTCATCATCTAGAAACCTACCCTGAGAAAACCTATGCAGCCACCACTGGACATTCATGTAGACAGGAAATTTCTGTAAAGAGGTTGGAGAAGATCCAAAGCACTGCA